AAGATTAGTTCACAGCGAAAGATTAGTTCACAGAGAATGATTCGTTCACAGAGAATGATTCGTTTGCAATCAATGATTAGTTCACAGAGAGTGATTCGTTTGCAATGAAAGATTAGTTCACAGTAAAATATTATTTTGCAGAGTAATTAGATCGTAGTGAAAGATTAGTTCACAGTGAAAGATTAGTTCATAGAGAGTGATTCGGTTGCAATGATAGATTAGTTCACAGTGAAAGATTAGTTCATAGAGAGTGATTCGGTTGCAATGATAGATTAGTTCACAGTGAAAGATTAGTTCATAGAGAGTGATTCGGTTGCAATGATAGATTAGTTCACAGTGAAAGATTAGTTCATAGAGAGTGATTCGGTTGCAATGATAGATTAGTTCACAGTGAAAGATTAGTTTGCAGAGAGTAATTCGTTCGTAGTGAAAGATTAGTTCACAGTGAGTGATTAGTTCGCAGTGAGTGATTTGTGAGTGATTCGTGAGTTCAATATGAACAAATATTTAATATGACTCGGTAGTCACGAGTCACGAATCTTTCATATGACTCGGGAGTCACGAGTCATATGAAAGATTCGTTCATTTTGAACGAATCACTCGCGAACGACACATCACTATTTGACACTGTTCCGTGCGGAAGTGCAGATGTTGTTTTGCAGAGAGTGTCTGTGTTTTGCCTGCATTGATAAAAAAGGAGAAATAAAAAGAGTTCTTGACCACAAAAAAATAGACAGCCGTCTGTGTAGTCCTGCATCGCACCATACATCGACAATTCAAAAACACAACGTAGAGAGGTGTTTGGATGCACGACGTTACGTTGCACGGATTTGGGTTATACAACCATACTGTAATAATTGTTGTTGAGCATCTTCTAATTGTGATAACAGAGTTAGACATCATTGTTGGTTCCCACTGTGCTTCAGTTGTGTGCCATCATCAGCCTGTGTGGAAAACTGGGAAGTTGCAAATTTGATGATTGCCTGGATTGAAAATGAACCCAGAGGAAACCTGCACCAAAAAATAAACCATAGTATTAACACTTTGTCTCAAATTTGAATCCTTCTGAGTAATATTTACAGCCAGAAAGGAAACACTTACTTTTCAATGAGCGTGTCCCAGTTCTCTTGAATAAAATCCCAAGCAAATAAGTAACCAGTGAAACCATCACACACAGTCTTGATGACCAAGGGCAGCTCTTGTGTCTGGATGAACCCCCCCTTTAGACCAGACTGGAAAAACCTGGGTTATACTTTTGCACATTTTTCTTGACATATTTCCATATTAATAATTCCATCTTTCAGATTAGTCACAAATAAAAACAGATGTGAAACACCTGAATGTACCTGTTGTTATTTGACTTTTGTATATCATTAACAAGTTTGGGATTGTTGATTTTTCTTGATTAATCAATCAAATCAATCAAATTTTA